CAGAGCAAATTTACTATATCCACCCCTTTGGTAGGCTACTTCGAACCATTTTCGTATAACCTAAGCGTGTGACAGAGAAAATTAGAGAAGTCATACGTGCTCTTCACCTTCCCTTCTGCTCGAAATCACAGCTTATGCACTTACCATTACATGTTGGCATTATGTTGCTTATATCCATACCAGGCCGGACATATCACCCTGTCAGACTGGCCTGTCTGAAAACTAGACTGAGCTATAGCTGAATCCATCTTATCGAATCCTAAAATCCGGAGAACGCATTGTGTACGGATTAGTAGGCCTCCATGCGACGGATAACTCTACAAACCCGAAGTTAGACGTAAGAAGCTTGATTTTGCTTCCGCATAACGATAACTCGTCACATTTTGTGTTTGTTAGCGCTAGACGTTCACATCGCCAGCGTACCTGATGGCCAAAATCGGTAAGTAGGGTGCCATGGAAAGTGTCTTTTCTCTCCTCCTGTTAAGAAGGTAGGCACCACTTAGGTCTCAGGTCCTCGCTTCCGGCGAGTGCCACATGGAGGCATACAACAAAACAGCCAATAGCAAGCGTCCGCCTGCCAGCCAATCAATTATCCGACGACACTGACATGCGGGTATCGCAACCACTGACCTGCGCAATTCTGGCTGCATCGCTTATCGGCCTGTGACCGACTCACACCGACAGTTCAACCGCCGAGTTTGACTACGTCTATCGCTTGCTTCAACGGGCTAGATCCAAAAGCGGTGACTTGAGCGTAAGTTAGTTTTAAGCGATAGCAGACTTGCTTCGTATCTGTTTCACTTTCTATTCCCTCATCTGCTCGTACCTGGTGTTCTGACAGGGTCAGGGTGACCAAAGGCGAGATTGGGCGCAAATCACACCACTAGTTACGTCAACAACTAAGGGGTTCTGCGCAGACTGCAGTCTTTCTGCTGGGGGTTTTCAGCCACTTACACCTCTGGTCGTGGTGGCTATACACCAATGATTATCTTGGCTGCAACAAATAGGACTCGACCTTAGCCGTGACGCTCACGGCTCTACTATGTAGAGCGTCAGTGTTACAAAGGCGACACCCCACCGACTGACTTGTCCACAACCGTTGGTGATCGGATAGGTCAACACTTAATTTTATTGTCAGCGCGCCTAGAGACCATGTGACTGACTCCGCCTCTAACCCATAAGAGGTCAAGGACTGACAGTGCTCCTCTCAGTCGCTCGAGGGCACTACTCCCACAAAGTCTGCCTTGGCCATCTTTGTTGGGCTGATTTGCAGTTAGTATATGCTGCGATTTAAATGATATAATATCAATCGCTGCGTGTTCGTAGATTGTAACATGTTGACGAATTTTACTCTGCGAGACTACAAAGTCGAAGAAATCTTAGTCACTGGAAGTCCGGCCTGTATCATACTTGAAGAATTCTTTAGTATTTTTTAATAGTAAGCACCTTAATGAAAATTCATTAGTTGCGCTTCCTATGAGGGTTCCACTTTACAATGCGAATGAAAGCGTAAAACTTGAACCTCCATTAGTCTTTTATCATTAAAATCACTCATATGCGGTCCCTGGGGGAGGGGGGTGGGGCTATTTCTACATGCACGTCTTGAGGATGGAAGAAGTGGAGGTTAGTTATTTTAAGTCGGGTAAAAAATGGACTACTTTTCGAACGAGCAGCTTAAAGGCATGTAGATGAATGTAAGTTCTACCAAAGGAGCAGGTAAAAACGAAGAGGGGCTGCGCCCCACGAGGTATTTTATATACAGCTAAACTGCAGAGCCCTCACCAACGCTGGGCCGTGCTTTTTTCATCTAAATATTTTCGTTACAGTAAAATCTGCCATACCTGATACTTGGAGGCCCAGGATAAAGCGTCAGCCTCGAAGTCATGCAGCCTCTTCTCGGCCTCTTTAAGTTCGCTGTTTAACTTTGAGCAGTCAGTTGCGGCCTCGTCCCGTTCGCAAACAGCACTAAGGTACTTTTTCTCCAAGTACTTGTTCTGCTTTTGGAGGTTTGTTTTCGCTTGGAAAATCTCATCAAGCTCTTGCTGTAGGTTAGAAATTGAAATGATATTTGTTTTACAAAGTTTGCAGGTCCTGCATGCATGCAGACAGACAGACAGATGGTGCTTCAAAACAGACACCTATTGCCACTTAATCTATTTGTCCTTATATATCTAAGGCAATAAGAGGCTCGAGCCCACAATCAATCTACCAGGAAACTTTAACAATGTCTGCCTTAATAATTGAGGAGGCCAGGAGGAGAGAATGAGACTGCGACTAGCCCAGCCATTTAAAGTCTGACTTCACCCAACGGACAATTGTCTGCCACGGAAAGCACGGGAGTGCACGCGCACTCCCGTGCAGTGAGTCGATGTAAGCAGTGGGTTTGAACGCACTGACTAGTTGTCTAGCGTGCGTCACTTTTCCGCCGTGGCCTGTAGCAGGCAAAGACCAGATACGTTCCCGGTGTCGCGCCAGAATCCTGTGACCGGTGGTTTTGTGCTGCCAAAAATGGCATTGCTCTGGTTCACTTCTACTTCCAATTCACCTGCGTTGTCTTGCTATCCGACTCCCCCTCCCCACCCAAAGCCCCGTTCAGTATTCAATCAAGCATTCTTGAAGGAAGTGCATTACTAATTTATGTATGAAACTAATAACTATCAACCAGGGGACAT